TCGGTCATGGGGCTTGAACTCTGGGCCTGGGCGCTGTCCCTCAGCTCTTCAGCTCAAGGCGAGCGCTCTACCACTTGAGCTACAGTGCCACTTCCGATTTTCTGGTGGTTTATTGGAGATAGGAGTCTCACGGTCTCTCCTGCCCGGGCTGGCTTTGAACCTCGATCCTCAGATCTCAGCCTCCTGAGTAGCTAAGATTACAGGCGTGAGCCACCAGCGCCCGGCTGTGTAAAATATTCTTATCCACAGGTGCAAATATTTTTATCCTGGGTAGTAGTAGTTCTGCCGAAGTATGATAGTTCAGGTTTGACAGTTAAAAATAATAGTAATAAGTATAGTTCACCTCTGCATATCACCTTTATAATAACAAAAATTCTAAGCCTTAAAGCTTAACACAATTTTTTCAAATGTTATCCAATTTGAGCCCAGCACTGATGGCTCACCCCTATAATCCTAGCTACTCAGGCAGAAAAACCCATGAGGTTCCATCTCCAAAATAACCCACAAAAGGCAGGGCAGGAGGCATGGTGCAAGGGGTAGAGTGCCAAGCCAAGCAAGTGAACAAAACAAACATGAACCCTGACAAAAGAAGGAACTGGAATAAAGACAACCCAGAAGATGGGGGAATAGAGCAGGCTCCTAAAGCTGTCCGTTTTCCTGGTCTGTGCTTGCCTTCCGTGGATGCCTGCAGCTCCCCGGTGCCCTCCAGCCCACACTGCTAGTCTTGTGCTGGCTGCCAGGTCCTCCCAACCAGAAGATGCTGGCAGCCAAGCCGGGACAGCAGCGCCGCATCTCACTCACCCAGAGCCGTGATGCACCACCACGGCGGCCAGGTCGTACAGGCAGCTGTCCGGGCCGCTGTTCTCAGGCTGCGGGACAAGGAGTCGGGAGCATGGTCAGTGACGTTGGTGGTGCTCTGCCAGCGACCTGCCCCTCTGCAGGAGCCCAGGCAGGTCATCACTTACCTCCAGCAAGTAGCATTTCATGTCTAGGCCCCTCAGTGGGAACTCTACATAGGTATCGACTTTGTTTCTTAAATAGGCTGTCCAATGAAATCGTTTCAAATGTAAGCACAGCACCTGGGCAAGGAAGGACAGGATGGTGAAGGGCCTGGTGCACCCCGGTCTCCACTCGGGGTGCTGAATGCTGCTCAGCTTTGCCTCCTTCCATGCACCCACCCCCCAAAGGCCTCAGCAGAGAACAAAGAACAATTGTGTAAAGCTCCGACTACAACAGTCCTCAATCAGGCACACCCCAACCGCACGCGTGCGCGCGCACACACTGAATTGGGACTGCACTTCGCCACTTACCCTGGGGAGTTTCTGAATCCAAAACTTTTTTGTGGACTTCTGTTTCTTTTTGCATTTATGGCACATATATAACTCTGTCTCATCAAGCTCTTCTAAGTCGGTAAAACTGCGAAGACAATCTGAAACCAAATTCATTTTTGCAGCATTAAGACACTTTGTAGAGGCAACTTCTGAAGTCAGCGCCAGCCAGCAGGCCTGGGCCTGGCCGTGTCGGCTCTGACCTTACGAAAGCCACAGGGAAAGCCACGGCCCGAGGGCTGCAGCAGACGTGAGCCAGAAAGCCCCTGGCATGAGCCCTGGCACCCAGAGATGACCGGTTGGCACACGGTGGTGGTTTTACTGGAAATAATGGGATATTTAGTGAAAATGCTAATAAAAATGGATTCCTAGTGAAATCAAGTTTTGGTAGCAACCTTCTCAACAGGCTTTTAACAAAGCCCCAAGTGCATAAAAAGTCAGATTTAGATCAAACCTTTTTACAATCCTAACTACTTAAAAAACAAAATTACTCAGGGCTAATCTTTTTTGGGGAGTGGGGTGAGGGGGAGGGGGGTGTTGGTCCTGGGGCTTGAACTCCAGGCCTAGGTGGCGTAGCTGAGCCTTACTGCTCAAGGCTCGTGCTCTACCACTTGAGCCACAGCTCCACTTCAGCATTTTTTGGTTATTTGGAGCTAAACACTTCACAGGCATTGAGGGCTGGCTTCAAGCCTCAAACCTCAGAGCTCAGCCTCCCAAGTAGCTAGGATTCCAGGCTGTGAGTGCCCAGCAGGACCATGCGTTCTTGAGTATGGCTCTGCTCTGACTCCAAGGCCTAATAAGCACGGGAGCCTCTGCCTCATTTCCCCTCATCTCAACTTAGTTCTCGAGCCTTACCCAATCCCCCCCTTTCCTCCATGCCATGCTCACAGAGCGCATAAGTCCAGCAGGTATGTGCTGTGAACACAACTCTAACTCTGTGCAGGGGCCTCCCATGGGCACGCCGGCAGCCGGCCAGGCAAGCCGAGTCCCTTTAGACCACTCATTAGGGGGCCGGAGAGCTCTGAAGCCAGCATCATGTGAGCTTGCATCATGGACAGACCGTGGTGTTGTCAAGGAAGAAAGAGCAGAGTTTTCCGTACTCAAGATCAGTGTGAGCACCGAAACCAGAACGTGATAAAAGCTGTATGTGAAAACCCAGGGAACATCACACTAGGTGATGGAAGACCGAAAACTTTTCCCTAAAGATCAGAAGCAAGACCAGGAACCCACATTTGCTACTTCCGTTCAACATAGTACTAGTTTCAACCAGAGCAATGAGGAGGGGGGAAAAAAGACATCCAAAACAGAAAGGAAAAACTTAAATTAAGCCTGTTCAGCAACTGCATGGTCTTACAGCTAAAAAAAAAAAACTTATTCAGTGAGTCCCAAAAAAGTTAAAGCTGCGTATAGCTGCTCATGTCTGTAATCCCAGCTACTTAGGAGGCGGGGAGATCTGGAGTGTGGCTCGGGAAATCCAGCCGGGTACCAGTAGCTCCCACGTGTAACCCTACCTACTTGAGACGCTGAGATCATGAGTCTGAGAGTTCCAGGCTAGCCTGGACAGAAAAGTCCACAAGACTCCATAGCAACAGAATCTGCTGGTGTGGTGGGATGTGCCCGCCCGTCCTCCCGCCTACTCCAGGAAGCCTGAGACGGGTGGACCTGGAAACCCCAGCTCGAACAACCTTCTCTAGAAAGTCTTGGGTCTAATATCACGCAGCTGGCGTGGTGAGGGCTTCGTGGGCTGCAGTGACAACACTGGAAAGTCTATCCTCGCGGTTAGAATCACTTCCTACCAGTGTTCTGCTTCAAGATGACAAATGTGAGGCAGACTGCAGGAACAGTACTTCTTTTTAGTGATTCGATGGACATCCTTTATAGATATGCTGGCCTGAGTTTGCAAGTACAATGACTAGTTACGGAACTACCTAGGACCATGCTGACAGCCCTCCCCCACGGCGCCCGCACACAGCACTTCCTGCCTTTATCCTAACCCGCCACCCTATCTTGCCAACAGATTAGTGTGTGTGTGTGTGTGTGTGTGTGTGTGTGTGTGTATACACATTTTTTTTCTTTTGGGCAAGTTGCACTTTCTTAATGTATCATATACTTGGGCAGAGTACCTTTTATTTCAGATGTTACAAACAGTTGTCTCAGTTGTCTTCTCTACGCTATGGTGTGTCAGGATTGTGCAGTGGATTTAGCTGCATAATGAGTTCTGGCCTTGCTCACACACTCGGACCCTCCGCTGACGTCAGAGACACTTGCCCACAGTGTTTTGTGGTACTTTCCACATTTCTATCTTGAGAGCTCTAATTCAGGAAAATATAAAGTGGGGTAATACTGATGTTTCCCCACATTAATATTAATCACTCTTACACCACTTATTGGCTGGTTTCTCATTTCCCCTGGCTTGTACTTTTTCTTTGTGGCAGAATAAACTCACATGCACAAGTTTTCCCTCTCCATCACGCTGCTATTCAGTACTGCAGGCCGCTCGCCCATGCTGCTCTACCCTGCTCCCGTTTCAGGGAGAAGACAGGCCACCACAGACAGAGCCACGGCCGCCTCCTGGGGCTTGGACTTGTCCTTTCATAAAGCTCCATTACTTTTTTTAAGTAGTACTGGGACTGGACCTAGAGGCCTCCCACATTGCTAGAGGGCTACCTGAGTCATACCTTCAGCCCTCTCTTTTTGGCTTTTTGGGATATAGGCCCTTGCTAATGTAGTCTAGCATGGCTTTGAACTTGAAAGCCTCTTGCCTTGACTTCCAAATGCTGGGGTCACAAGTGTGTGCCATTATGCCCAGCAATCTTGCACATTTCTAAGTTTATTATTTGTGTGTATGCCAGTTTGGGGACTTGAACACAGGACCTGGGTGTTGTCACTGAGCTGTTTTGCTCAAATCTGGCTCGCTACCACTTGAGCCATAGCTTCACTTTTGCCTTTTGCTGGATAACTGGAAATGATTGGGCTGGCTTTGAACCATGATCCTCAGATCTCATCCTCCTTAGTAGCTAGGATTACAGGTGAGCCTCACCAGTGCCCAGCTCGGCATGACCTTTGTGATGTGCTGCAGAACACAGTCTGTTTTCCTGTTGAGAATTTGTGCGCCTATATTCATCTAGAATATAGGCCCATAATTTGTTTTCTGCATCATTGGCTGATTTTGGTATCAGTGTAAGGCTGGCCTTGGGATTTGGCAGAGTTCCATTTCAATTTCTGGGAACAGTTTTATGAAAACACATTTTACAAATCAGTGGGAGTCACTAGATGGCTGTATATATGTACATATCATGCACTAATCAGATGCCCCCCTTAGGACTTTTCCAGACCCTCATCATTGTTCTCCTGTCAAATTATTACTTTTTCTTTCTTAAAGTCTCCACGTGAGCATGCACCTTTCTGTGTCTGGCTTATTTCACTTAATATGATATCCTCTGGTTCCATCCATTTTCCTGCAAATGCTAAGGTTTCATTCTTTTTGCTGCTGTTGTTGGTGGTGGTGGTCGTGGAGCTTGAACTCTGGGCCTGGGCGCTGTCCCTCAGCTCTTTAGCTCACGGCTAGCACTCTACCACTTAAGCCACAGCGCCACTTCGAGTTTTCTAGTGGTTTATTGGAAATGAGTCTCATGGACTTTGCTGCCTGGGCTGGCTTTGAATTGTAATCCTCAGATCTCAGCCTCCTCAGTAGCTAGGATTACAGGTATGAGACACCAGCACCTGGCTGTATTTTCTTTATCCACTCATCTGTCCTTGGACGCTACTGCTGATCACACATCTTGGCGATTGTGGACAGTGCTGGTGTAAACACAGGCTTACAGGTCTCTTGTGTGCCAACTTCATTTTCTTCAGTACATACCAGCAGTGGGCAAGGTGGACTGCGTGGTAGTTCTCATGTGACCTTCCGAACTGTTTGATGTAGTGACTGTACTAATCTACATCTCCACCAATCGTATAGAAGGATTAGGGTTCCTTGCAGCATTTGTTCTGCTGGTTTTATTTTTGGTAACAACCATCCTAACCAGGGTGAGGTCTCAGAGTCCCACTGTAGTTTTTTGTTGCTTTGTGTCGGTCCTGGGGCTTGAACTTGAGAGCTGGGCATTGTCCCTGAGCTTTTTTACTCAAGGCTGGTGCTCTACTACTGCTCCACTATTGGCTTTTTTTTTTTTGGGTGGGGGGAGTCCAGTCGTGGGGCCTGAACTCTGGGCCTGGGCGCTGTCCCTCAGCTCTTCAGCTCAAGGCTAGCACTCTACCACCTGAGCCACAGCGCCACTTCCGGCTTTTTTCTTTTTGCTTATGTGGTGCTGAGGAATTGAACCCAGGGCCTCAGGCATGCAAGGCAAGCCCTCTACCACTGAGCCACCTTCCCAGCCCGTCACTTCTGGCTTTTTTATGGTTAATTGGAGATAAGAGTCTGGTAGACATTCCTGCTTGGGCTGGCTCTGAACTGAGATCCTTAGATCTCAGCCTCCTAAGTAGCTAAGTATAGGCAGGACCACTGACACCCATTTCTCATTGTAGTTTTGATCTGTTCTTCTCTAATAGCTAATGATATTGATTACTTTTCATGTATTTACTTAATATTGGTGTTGCTGCTTTTGAGACTTATCTATTCAGACTGCTTGCCTGTTTTTTTTTTTTTTTTTTTTTTTTTTGGGTCCGGTCGTGGAGCCTGAACTCTGGGCCTGGGCGCTGTCCCTCAGCTCTTCAGCTCAAGGCTAGCGCTCTACCACTTGAGCCACAGCACCACTTCCGGCTTTTTTCTTTTTGCTTATGTGGTACTGAGGAATCGAACCCAGGGCCTCAGGCATGCAAGGCAAGCACTCTACCACTGAGCCACCTTCCCAGCCCCTGCTTGCCTGTTTTTTAATCAGATTGCTTAGTTTTGTTACTGTAGGTTTTTTTCAGTTTTATATATTAATCATCTGCCAAATGAATAGCTCCCACTGTGTAGGATCTCTCCTCACTGATGATTTTTTTTTTCCTGCACTGTACAGCAGATCATTTTAAGGGTAGGGATTTGTGCTTTGGTGTGAGGCCTGGACTCAGCTGGGAGGGAGCCAGAATTACAAGTGTATTGGTATGCACCACCACATCC